CTATACTATAGGGGAATCCTTGTTTACAATATTTGCCTCATTAGCATAAGCAATTCAGTTTCTGATGGAGCTAAAAATAAATCAGTTCTGAATATCGAAAGGTCAAAGTACGATTAACTCGGCCAATGAATACGAGCCTGATGCATTGAATACTTTTTGTGCAACACGGGTTTAAAAACTCAAAATTTTACATAGAATGTATGAGCTCATTAGCGCTTTTGCCACCCAGAAATTTTGCAGTTTTTGATGGACTATTTCTCCTTGAATATTACACCCAAAGAGCTAAACATTTCACCATTTACTAAGGTTTTCTAGCTCTTTAGCTGCCTGAAGTCAATTTGTATCTAACACGCTTCCTTCTATGTAAGCCGTATGCAAGCTTATGCAAGCCGTATGCAAGCCGTATGCAAATGAGCAAAAATGTAAACAATGACGTCAGCATGAATCCGCCTATAGAAATCATTCGAAGGACATCCAATATCTCGCAATTACCAAACTTGTACAGAAATTAAACACCGGTGTCAAATCTGCCGAATAAATTACGCCTGTGAGATCGTGTTTATCTTTTAGACACAATACCGTCGACAGCACGTTAAAAACATCGGCATGCAAGAGGAATGTTTTTGGATGGGTGGATTGCAGAAGGACACTTAAAGTAACTAATTTTTCAATTATGTGAGAGGAAAATAGCATAAATTTTCAAGAGTTAGTTTTTCGTATGAGTGGGTTGCGGACGAACACTTTGAGTGACTATTTTTTTTTTTTTCGATTTTGTGAAAGAAAAAGAGCATTAACTTTCGAAGTTTCCGACAATAATCAGGATAGAGAGTAAAAAAGACCCTTCAAATTTATATGGAATGAGCTCAGACACAAGCATTTTGTGGTCTGTTGTCACTGTTATCTGAACAGTTTTAAGCAGAAATAAACTGCACTAGTGCTAGCTTACTAGTCTCCTTCGAAGTCATCGTTTGGTCTCGTCATTCAACATGCTCTCTTCCCCCATCCCGTGGCGTGACGAGACTACAGAGCAGATGCGAATGAGACTTCGTTGGAAAGCGTGAAGGCTCTCATAATTGGCACTTCGGCACGAGCGTTTTTAATTTTATTGCGGAAAACACACCAAAACTCCATTTTATCTCCAGGGGACTTTTTTCAGTTAAAATGCCATTTCCAGTAAACAACGTAAACTCTATGGCATAAACCTACCTTACTGAAAAAAATTTCCAAAGGAACATAATGATACTGTCAGTCTATTTTCCACACAATTTTCACGTGCTTAGACGTTTTCTGCCAATCAAAATTGCTTTTAGCTACCTTAGACTTCACTCCATCACGTGCCAATTGCCTTGTAAGCAACTTGCATTTTATCATGCGCGTATTCCGCACGCACCGGGCAAAGTCCAGATAGACAATTACCAAATAACGAGCCCGCGTCGTTATGCATACGTAAATGATATTGAGACATGATACTTTTCTGGCCCCGGTTGTTCGAAGGATGGATAACGCTATACACTGGACAAATCTCTATCCGGTGGATAACGCAGTACGTTTTGGTAACACTTATCTGCTGGATAGCGATTTCTCCGTTGGATAGCGTTATCCGCCCTTTGAACAACCGGGGCCAGAAAAGTATGTCTCAATATCATTCACGTAGGCATAACGACGCGGGCTCGTTATTTGGTAATTATCTATCCGGACATTCAATACATTGTCACATTGAACAAAGACCGAAAAAAGTCTTTGGTTATAAGCTATCGGAGATAAAATAGAGTTTCGGTTTGCTTGTCATCGTAGTCAAAACTATTAGGACGGAAGGCGCCATAATATGCAGGTACGGGATCTAAAACTAAACCTTTATTTATTACAATAGGACAAGGTTGTCCCCTACTAGATAAATTACCTTACCCTATCCCATAAAAGCAGACAAAATTGAAACCCAACCCACTTACAAGCCCCAAGATTGTAAAAGATCGTATCATTATTAAAGATTGTAAAAGTTGTAAAGAGAAAGAATTTTTCACATTTGGTCTCTGACATGCGCCCCACTTGAAATATTGAGCCTAAGAGTAACAAGCATCTAATTTTCCTCGGAGAAAATATTAAGGATGAGGGAATGAAGGTAATGACTGCCAGTTAAGGAAGTTCTTGATTGTTGACCAATTTCTCCTTAGCATTACCAAGGATGAGGGAATAAAGGTAATGACTGCCAGTTAAGGAAGTTCTTGATTGTTGACCAATTTCTCCTTAGCATTACCAAAGTTTAGGTGTAGAGAACAGTATGGAGAATGTGCAGTTTGATGTTTATGTGTAAAGGGTTAATAGGCACCCGGGAGGCTTATTGGAGCATTTGCAGTAGTTTACAATTGGAAATGAAATAATTCTATATCAGGAAATTGGTCTACAGGTGATGGCCATGGGAGATGCTCTTTCTCAAAAGTGTCAAATTTGTGAACGCCAAATGGCAGAATTAACCATGTCAGCTCTTACCTAGTTTGCTTTACCTTGCAAGCTAAGCATGCTCTCATTGCCACTGCAACACAAGTAAAAAAAGACCCAGATTTCAAGCCATCAATAGGAGCAATATTTGGTTCAAAATATCTCAGTAGAGCATTTTTAGTCAATCATATCTTTCCGAGCTCGTATAAGCTTCTGAATGCGATCTGACACGATTTCATTGCTACATCTACAGCTTTCAGAATCATGCGGAGATTCCACAAGAAGACCTGCCATTACCGACAATATGGCACTGTCTTCTGAACTCTCAGTTACAGGAACTCAATTGTTTGTCAGCCACTCAATCCGATTGCCTTTTCGTTTTAACATCTCCTTTTTTTAAATACTCCTTTGTGTTTCTCCAATTCAAGAAAGATCATCTTTGGCGGACGGGGACCTCCATTGTCCTTTAAAACAACGAGCGTGATCGTATGTCCCACAACAAAGTCTGCTTCTTGGAATTTAAGTTCTCCGTTCTTTCTTGTAGAACCGCGGTGTATGTCACTGAGTCGATGGCAAGTACCCATCCTACTCTCCTACTGTTGTCGCAAAGACAAATAGTCATTTTCCTGTCGATGAATTCTCAACATTCCTTAAAACGTCAGCCATTACGCTCAATTGCAGACGATTCGTTCCCAAGCTCCTTAGGCCACTCCGAAGGGACAGAAGCAGAAGCGTCCGAAAGGAGTCCTGTCCTACCCCGCAAAAATTGGGTTTTGGAAAAACGCTAAACAATCAAACTTTGACCTATTAAGAGGGGAAATAGAACCTAACCCCTCTATTACTATCTCGGTCAGTAGAGGTGGGCGAAACGATTAGCGAAAGACGCTCAGCGGTTATAAGAAGGGAAAATGCAGCCATACTGCCGCCAGCTTCGCCTTCTCACTTTTCGTTTGTCTCCATTGATCGAAACTCTGCTACACAAAAAACAGTCCCTTTATTTATTAGAAACGTATTTCGGCTCCTCGTCCTGAGTCTCCCTGTTTTTAAAAAAACCTCAAGGCGGTTGTTGTCTGCTATAAGTTTTGATTCGAGCAGAAGGAAGATCTTTACGGAGTGAGCATGCAGTCAACCGTGTGAACAACAAACAAGAAACACACATCAATTGGATCGATATCCAAGATATCTTCTATTCAGTTGTACTTGGAGTTCTGAAAAAAAGAAAAAACCTGGGATTAGCGAATGAAACCTTCCGTTAGCTAAAGCTATGGTATGATTTAATCAGAATCAATGCAGTTTTTGTTACGAACATTAGGATAGTTTCATTCTTATTTCACCCATCCATTAGCCGCTCGATCGATTTTGAAATCACGCATACGATTTCAGACCAAATTGCACTCCACTCAGTTCAATTCTCATTACAAATTCTCCTTTTAAGTGCCATAGGAATAGAGAACGATATGGAAAATATATAGACTGACGTTAGGCTGTGAAGGGTAAACACTTGAGCTACTAATTGGGAAACAGGTCGGTTCATCTATGGCAACAGACTGTTTTCAGATCAATTCAGAGTCAATAAAGATGCACTTTTCCCAATAAAATTGCTCATTCACTCGCATTGACAAGTTCAGATCTACTTTAACATTGGTTTGAAAATCGCCAAACCATTAATAATCAATGTGGAGACTCCTAGAACAAGAACAAAAAAAGAGGACAAATAAAAAAACGTATTGATTTAATGAATCATTGGATGGATTGGTTAAGTTATGAGTGAATCAAGTAACTTAAAGGAAAATATCCTAACCGTTGCTCTAACGATCGGTTACGCGCTTCTCGATCTAGAGTACCTAAACAACTACTCGGCCAGAGTATTTGCTCAACCAATCAAATACAAAACTCAAACTAAACGTGACTTGATCACTGCTGTTTTCCCGCGCTCCTGAGTCGTAACATTTGGTTCTCATTTGTTTCAATTGATATTTTCCTTTGTGCTAGTTTCCTGCCGGGATTACCGATATAAATATTTCTTCTTTTGAAGCTTTGCTGAGAGGTCTTTTTCAAAAAAATGATGGACACAGGTTGAGTCAATCAGCACAGATTCAGAAGAGAAAAAATTCGCACTCATCGTGTTTTTTTTTTTCTGTCCCCATCCTCAAGCCCTCGCGTTTTTGTTAGCCAGAATTGTACCGGTATTATATATCTTTTTCTACGCATCTTTGCAAAGCGCAACATGGAAAAAAATAGATTTATTTCAATTGTTCATTGCGAGGAGCTGTGATACCGGTGGCGTAGGTTTTGCATAGGAACACTCAACATCCATGCCTAAATCCTTAGCCTTAATGCTGACTTATTTTATACGATATTACAGAGAAACAAGCAATCAGAAGGCAAAAAGGTACTTAAAACTAAAATTTTTTTAATCGTTTCTGGGATTTTCCGAGGTTAAAATATCTTTAAAACCGACGTTTCGACCAGTTTTACAGGTCTTTCTCAGGTTGTTTAAATGTTGCCAATATGACGAATTGTTTAGTCTTTCAGCTTGGTGACTGCACATGACGTTTTGTGATTATCACACGACGTTTAAACGATGTCAAATTGCGCGGGAAATGTAGTCTGAGGTGTGTCAAGTACTTCTACTTTTGCGATAATTCACTGCCTATTACAGTCTTTTTTCATGATCAAAGAAGGAGTTTAGGACTGGTTTCCATGTTTCAACGTGGTCAAAATTGTTAAGGACTCTCATTCGGCGATGTTTCTGTCGTTTTCCTTCTTTGATCATGAAAAAAGACTGTAACAGAGAGTGAATTATCGCAGAAGTAGAAGTACTTGACAGATCTCAGACTACAATTCCCGCGCAATCTGACATCGTTTAAACGTCGTGTGATAATCACAAAACGTCATGTGCGTTCACCAAGCTGAAAGACTAAACAATCCGCCATATTGACAACCCGAGGAAGACCAGCAAAACTGATCGAAACTTCGGTTTTAAAGATATTTTAACCTCGGAAAATCCCAGAAACGATTAAAAAAATTTTAGTTTTTACAAAAATGAGAGGTGAAAGTTTCAGTAATACGATAAAGGTACTTATTTCTATTTTATAGTCGTAGTTGTCCATTTGAACTCCCACTACAAAGTTCAAATCTCGTTAGATTATCATATAACAGGTGAGCAGCACATGATCACGAAATATAATATTTAGGGGGAAGGAGAAAATTGTAGTTTGAAATATTACATTTTAAGATAATTTCAACATTGTATATGATTCATGTTCTTTGCTCATGTAAACATTATCATAAAAATTTGAACATGGACTATAGATAAAATAAGAAACATTTTAACCGTTTAGGCTTAGAATTACCCTTTGTGTGGTTCGCCGGCGCTCTCTCTAAGCTTTCTGGAATCATAACTGCTTTATCTGTCAGGACAAAAGCAGCAATCATATACTGATAAAGTTTAATTGTAAATCCCTTTCCCTGGTAAGGTCATGGAGTCGAAAGGGAACAAATAATGCTTTTTGGAAAGACTCTTTTCTTCTTGGATCAGATCTAGATTATAAGTAAAATCCCCCGATAAAGTAAAGTGATCAAATTTGCCATCTAACTCTGCATTTATTGCTATTACTATCAAGTACCTTGAGTTGGAGCCTTTCTGGTTTTTCTCTTTGAAGAATAAATGCGCCGTGAGGATTCAAAAGGTGTTTATAATCTTCACGGTACATTTTTTCTGCAAAAAGAAACAACAATTTTGATGGAGTCAGCATAAAATATCAGTATCTTAAAGTCGTCACGCCATGTTGAAGTGCATAATAAAGGTCTACTTTCCACGACAGGTCTCTTCAGCAGTCACCCGCCTACAACGGTCACCTCCATACACTGGCCGCCTTCCTAAAGCGGTCACCCCTTTAGAAGGGCCATCTCTCTACTCGGAACAACTTCCCCAAACCGCCTCCTTCTTAAGAGTTACCACCTCTTCACAATGGCACAGCAACTAGAGCGCCTCCCAATTAATAATACTTGTTACTGAGATTCCCGTCAGCTTAATATCACCAAAGCGAAAATAAAATGAATGTCAATAAAACTCAATTAAGGTATGCTATAAAAAATCATTTAACTTCTGTACTTTGCTGGGTTAGTCTCAGTTGGGATGTTTTTCACAAGCATCGCTGTTGGTTTTATTTTTTTGTTTGTTTTTGTGTAATCTATTTATTATTATTGTGCTTGTAATGATATGCCCCATAAGCACTTTTGACGAATGAGAATTTCAGCTGATTCCAGTGTGCATTGAGTGAAATATCTCATTCCCGTTTTGATTTTCTTTTTAAAAGAAGGTGAATTCACGGTAAACCAGTCGAAAGAATTGATGATATTCACTTGCGAAACCCTCTTCCATTTTTCAATGCTTTTTTTAAATTAATAATCCTACTATTTTTCATTAAAATCGCACGATAAAGATAAATGATTTAATTTGCCATGTGATAATGTTCATACCGTCATTATTTTATCAAAGTACCTCGAATTCAACTTCTATTCGTTTCACTATTCTCAATTTGAATCGGCGCCAAGCAATTTGAATTGGCGCCAAGCAATTTGAATTATGGACGCGCTTTCATTCTGCAAAGACAACAGTCCTCATGACGTCATCATTTGATATCAGCATCTAAAGACTTTGGTAAACTACTCGAAAGAATTGTTGATGTTAACTTGTAAAATCCCCTTTCCTTTTTAAATGCTTTTTATTAATAATCCTATTTTTTTTATGACTAAAATCGCACGATAAAGTTGATTGATTTAATTTACCATGTTCATACTGTCATTACTGTATCAAAGTACCTTGATTTCAAGTTCTTCTCTTATTTTCAATTTGAGTCGGCCAAGCTCGTTGAATTTATGGAGGCGCTTTCATTCATGATATCAACAGTTTAGAATCAACATCTAAAAGGCTTTACGTCATATTGAAGAGCATGATAACGGTCTATATTCTGCGGAACTTTTATTTTTTAAGGCCTTTTTAAGGCCACAATCCTACGAAGATGAGTCGCTTTAAATGGCAGTCTGCCACAGAAAGGCCACCGCCCTACAATAGCTACTTCCTTGGAACGAGTTCTTCTCTTCATTGACCACTTCAAAGGCCAGCTTTCCACAACCGTACGGCTACCTTCCCCAGACCGTTTCTTCCCAACGAGGGCCCACTCTTCAAAATGCATGGTACGAAAATCTGCAAAGCGTGTCCAAGTCAATTTTAAACTAACCTGTCTAAAACAGCCAGTTTAAAAAATGTTTTTCGTTACGAGTCCTGCTTTCTTAGGAACTATTAAGTCCGTCATCTGATCAAATTCATCAAACAACCCTTAACTGACATCGTCAATTCCTTCTCATGCTTTCTTGACCATCATCTCAACCTTCTGCCGTCTCAGGCGCCTTTGAAAGGTACACCAGGCTTGTTGTATTCTCCATGCGCCATTGGTTTGTAAGGAAAGCGCCATTCGCTTAGTTTTGTATCAAATTTTCCTCCGAAAGTCAACGTTTTTCTTTTCTATTGTTGCATCTTGAATATGATTATATTTGTATGCTGTAATGAAAATCCTACAAATGATAGTATTTTCCCTTTTGAGGAAGAAAGAAGAAGGAAAAATACAGTCCTCATTACGGCTACAAAATTCCGCTTTGGTAGCCGTAACTCTTTATTGAAGATGTTAACAATCTCAAGAGGATCATTAGTTAAGGTGTTATCATCAGGACGTTCAAGAGAAATGACTTGTTTTCTATTCTTTTTATCGTTAATTAGCCTATTTATTCCATTCTAGGTGTTTTTCATATTGTTTAAATTCTCAGCAAAGAATGCATAATAATAACTCCTTTTACTTAGCCGAGTAAGACTAGAAATTTTATTTCTGTATATTTGATAATTTACAAAATCACCCGATTGGAAGAGAGAATTTTTTAATTTGATGGATTTTCTAAGGCTGCTAGTTATCCATGGTTTAGAGAATTGCTTAAGCTTGCGATTCGAAACAGCTAGTCTTTAAAGGAGCATGTTTGTCAACGAGTGCCAATAGTGTATTGTAAAAGTAAGAAAAAGCTGTATCAACATCAAGCTGATCGCTTAAGTTAATTTGGCTTACCAAAGCATTAGAGAGTTCAGAGTTGAACTTGCTCCTAGAATAACCAGAAAAGTCTCTGCGTTTTTGCTTCCCGCGTTTTGGCCTCTGAATAAAATTGTGTGAACAGTGATCGCTCATATCAGAGATAATGTTCCCACTGGTAATTTCAACATCAACTTTGTTAGTTAAAATATTATCAATAAGGGTGGCTGAGTTATTGTAAACACGCGTTCGTTTGTCAATAGTTGGGATGAATGAAAAGCTTTGAAGAGAAAGTAAGAAGTCCTGAGCATAACAGAAAGTTTCAGCATGAAGGAGGTTTATGTTGAAGTCGCCCATAATATATATTTTTGATATATCAACAAAGTTGAAATAGTAAATTGACCACCGTAACGATTACNTGATTAAGATTGGTGTCCTCAAGTGCGTTTAGTTTGATGAGATTAAGGTCATAAATGCTAAAGAGTTTATCTAGGTATTTTGTGGTCGGCAAATGGGAAGGTAAACAATTATTAAATTGACCATGAGCTAAGTTTACATTTAATCCAAAATACAGGAGCTCACGGAGTAAAGATAGAGTATCTCGAGAGTTTAGATCGTTAGCACTCTGATAATATCAGGTGTCCAAGGCAAGTCGCTGAAGACTACCAATGTCTGTTATCTTTATTGGTGGGGAACCCTCACTCTTGCGTAAATAAATCGTGGAATTCTTGGCCCAGCAGAGGCGGTATTGATACTGTTCTTTAAATCTCTTCGCTTCGAACAACAGGTGTTGTTTTTTGAGGTGATCGAAGATTCTGACTCTGTCAAGAACACTATCAGCAGACAGGCTGATATTTGATGGGTTGACTTGAGAGGCAGTTTGTCGAGTTTCCATGACACTTGCTTTTGCAAGGCGTCTTACAAATTTACAGATGACCGGTTGACCGGTTTTGGAACGCCATTTTGTTGTCTCGAGGGGACGCGGTGAGCAATGTCAATGTCCGACAGAAGCACTTCTGCCCCCATCTCCTGGAACAATTTTACTCACAGGGTGCTTGTTACAGTTGCGGTTTCACTGCTTTTCTCTGGCAGGCCAATTATTTTTACATTAAATTGGTAGCTATATTCCTCATGCAGCTTCGTCAATGACTTTGCCAACACGTGTGACTTCAGCGCTAACGGCTTATTAAGACGACGGCTTAATGCCTTGAGTTGATCAAGGACACCAGAATTAGACGCTAACAGGTCGTCGTATTCGTCGCTCAGATATTGTAGACTACGAGACACAGTTTCATCATTCGAAGCATTGTTATTATTATTATCAGTCGAAGCAGCTGCTTCAGCACTAAAGGTAACGGCCGAGTCGATCCGAACCTTCTCTTTCAGCTGCGTTATTTCCTTCGAAAGGGCGTCGACTTTATCCTTTAAATCTTGATTTTGTTGCTTTAGCGAGGTAACTGACTCTTTTGGCATGATTTTAGTGA